CTCTTTGGGCTTTCCAGCCGGACACTCTTCTTGTGTGGATCCCATTTCCCAGGGAACCCTGAAGCACAGCAGCCCGTGGGCCACAGAAGGGGCAGGAGACACTAGTCATTGTGGGAATGGACCCATGGGCTAGTTGTGTAATGACCTGTCAGCAGGACTGTCAGCCCTCGTCTGTTGTTCTAGTGTCGTCCCTGGGCCTCGCTGAGGAGTCAGGGACAGGTCAGGGAAGCTGGCGCTGTGCGCTGTCTAGTTCAGCAGCAGGAAGCAAGCCTTCGAACATCGCATTTCCACCTTCCTACTGCTCCGTCACCACACGACTTCAGTGGAGAGCCTCTGTTTTCAAGTACTTTCTGAAAACATGGTGCAATGCTCAGTAGTTCATGAGTCATTCTCATGATATAGTGATATAATTCAGTTGTGACCATGGCTGCCTGTGATGCCACTGGCAAAGGTGGTTCTCGTTTACACCGAGGTGTCTGTGGTTCAGAGACTGCCTTTGAAAGTATAGTGGGGAGGGCCGTGAGAGATGAGATAGCATCAGTGTCAAGCTTGCAGGCAAGCCCAGTGATCTGCGTTTGATCCCCTGGACCCATGTGCACACACACACACACACACACACAGGAGAGACACAGTAATTAAGATGGAATAAAAAATATTGCAGAATTATTGGGTTGCATAAGACATTGGGTCCTAACACCACAAATGTAAATGAGCGTGTATACATGTACGTGTGTGAACACTTACATGTCATACATATATGCACTTCTGAATTAAGTGATCTTCAGAGAAAAAGCCCTGGGCAGGGTGATAGGTTAGGTGAGTTGGTGGTCACGCACGCTGCCAAGGACCTGGTCCGCTCCTCCCCTTTGTGTCTGATCACACCCCGAATGCCCACCAGTCCTTCTCGCTCTTGAGCCAGCTGCCCTTGAACCGCTCACTGAGGCTGGTGTGCGCTGATACCATTCGGATCTCATCTGGGAGCTGGTCAGGGCAGGAGATGTTGGGAAGATACTCTTGGGGTGCCACAGAAGAGGCGCTCCTATGGGAACTTAAAGTGAGGTGGGAGCTGCTGCCTCGATTCCTGCCACTCTGGGTCTGCATTTGTCAAAGAACTAAATGAACTAAGTCCTTCCTTCTCCTGATGTGAGGGACAGAACCAGGGTGTCGTGCTAGGCAACCCTACCCAAAGTGATGTTCCTAGCCCCTTGATAGGAATCCCCAGGTAAGTGACCAGAGGCTGAGATGACCTTTCACTCTGGCAGGAAACTCTTCTGACATGATACTGTAGCTGCCCACCTGTGGGGCCTCCAACCCCCAGCACATAGGAACCTGCCTGTTCTTATGCTGCGTGCTGGGTTCTGGGTTCATGAGGTGCTGGGCTGATCCTGTGTTTCTACTCCTGACCTCAGAGCCCACCCCTAGCCCAGTCCCTGAGCCTCTTGCCACTTCTCTCAGCAAGGATAGGTAGAGAGAGGTCCCTCTGTTTGGTTGTTCCCCAGCCCAGAGACCTTGAGACACCCTGCAGAGCAGAACCCCAGATTCCTGCGCTGCCTCCATCCCTAACTCAGAGGGACTTGTTTTCCTAAAGGAACTGGCTCAAATAAGGAAGGAGGAGAAGGAGAAGAGGAGACGTCGTCTGGAAAATATCAACTGTTTGAAAGGAATGGGCTACTCCACACATGCCGCCAAACAGGCCCTTCACCAGGCCAGAGGCAACCTGGACGATGCCCTGAAGGTAATGCTTCCAGGCTTCAGTCTGAGCAGCTGGATGCACCCCACTGGCCTGCCTCCAGGCTGACTCTCCTTCCACAGCCTTCTTGTGGACGTCCCTCCTACGTCTGTGTAGACGGGTTGCGAGTGCAGCCAGTTCTGTCTTCTTCCAGCCTAGCCAGAATGATGGATGGCCCTGGCACTTGGCCTGGCTTCTTTCTTTTTGACGAGTCTAATGTCAGCGGCTATACTGTCCAACTCAAGGGATTGGTCATGTTTCAGTTGAAGTTTTTGAATAAACTGTTTGTTTTTATATCTGGTTTTATTTTTTGTGGTAGCTCTTGGCACAGGGGCTTTTTAAAGAAATCCCCAAAGTAACAGAGCAGCAGTGGCTTTTCTTTGGTCAAGAAGCACAGTAAGCTCTGTGCTACAGGTCAGATGCTGCCCTCAGGTGCCACAGAACAGTGACAGACAGATGGATGCAGGGGCAGGAGCTGTGTGCCTGCATGTGAGAGATGGTAGTCTGCGTGGCTGGTAGTTAGGTGAATAAAGGCCGTCCTGTGCTTTCAGATTCTCCTCAGTAACCCCCTCATGTGGTGGCTACAGGATTTAGACCCTGAAAACAACAGTCGTCAAACAAGTCCTTCCCAGGAGAGCATCGACCAAGTGAGTGACAGGCGGTGCATCTTCCCTTGGGCGGGGCTGCCTGGGATGAGTAGGATGGCAGCAGGATGGCCATCCCTGGGAGGACTTCAGGCATATGTAGTCGGGTGGATGTGGGGAGAGGGGTTCTGAATGAGAGGTGCTTCTGTAGAAGGGAAAGGGGATGGCATGGTAGTACATACCTTTAGTCTCAGCACCTGGAGACAGAGGCAAGTGGGTCTTTGAGTTCAAGGCCAGCCTGATCTCCATAGTGAGTTCCAGGCCAGGGCTCCATAGTGAGATTCTGTCCTCTGAAAACCGCACGAGGTGGACTGCAGCGGAAGGTACCTTTGCCCTCATTTCTCAGTTGCCTCTGTCCATGTTCCACTATCTCCATCAGTCCTCTTTCTCTGCCTGGGACCTGAGAGGTTGCCATTGTGTCCCATGAAACTCAACCCACCTCAAAGTGTGGAGACTTCATCCACACTTGACATCGCACTTTAGCATGTCCCATGCATTGTGGCCATTTAACGTGTGGTACTCACAGTTAGATTTTCATGACACCTGCTTTCAGCACCAAGGTGGCCGGCCGGTCCTGAGGTGAGTGAGTGCCTAGCACCTGTTGAACCCAGGTCTTCAGAGCCCCTTCTGCACGGCCTGGTGTCTCTGGGGCTGAAGAGGGAAGAACTTGTCAGAAAGGGCAAAAGATGCAGGCAGCATTCTTTTTTTCTTTTTTTTTTTGTTTTTGTTTTTTCGAGACAGGGTTTCTCTGTGTAGCTTTGCGCCTTTCCTGGGACTCACTTGGTAGTCCAGGCTGGCCTCGAACTCACAGAGATCCGCCTGGCTCTGCCTCCCGAGTGCTGGGATTAAAGGCGTGCGCCGCCACCGCCCGGCGTAGGCAGCATTCTTTAATCATACTTACCTAGAAAGATGCAGGCAGCATTCTTTAATCATACTTACCTAGAAAGATGCAAACTTGTCCTAGCTGTGCTCTGAGGTGCGAGAACATGGATGGGGTCCACAGGGCAGTGTGAGCTGAGCGCATGGTCACAGTCCTAACCCTGTGATCTCTCCTAGCTGGTGTACATGGGATTCGACACAGTGGTGGCTGAAGCCGCGCTAAGGGTGTTTGGAGGCAATGTCCAGCTGGCAGCTCAGACCCTTGCGCACCACGGAGGAAGCCTTCCTCCAGACCTGCAGTTCTCAGGAGAGGACTCCTCCTCCACACCGTCCACATCCCCATCTGACTCTGCAGGTAGGCCTGAGGTCTGGATGCTCCCTGATGGCTGCATTCTGCTGAGTTTGAGCTAAGGGCAGCTGTGATCCTAAGGCAGAGGCTAACCTGGAGGCCGAGGGCATCCCTGGGTTCTGCCAGGATGGGGTTTTGCCAGGCCGGGGTTCTGCCAGGACGAGGTGGCTGCCAAAGGTACAATCAGGGCACCTCTCCTCCTGTGATCTGCTTATCCCCATGGTGTTTTCATTGCAGGGACCTCTAGTGCCTCAACAGATGAAGACATGGAGACAGAGGCCGTCAACGAAATCCTGGAGGACATTCCGGAGCATGAGGAGGACTACCTGGACTCCACTCTGGAGGATGAAGAAGTGATTATTGCTGAGTACTTGTCCTACGTAGAAAGTATAAGGTCTGCCACAAACAACAACTGAACAGAACTAAGTCCTGCATTTCTGCCTATAAATTCTGTCGTTGTGAATGGTCGAATGCAGCTCTTCTTTGCGTTCCTCTTGCTTTTCAACGATTCTGCTCCAAGTAGGCTTCTTCCTCAGGTACAGGGACCCAGCGTAGTGAAGAGAGACTTCATTGGGAAGAGGACAGTCTAGGAGAGGGAATCCCTGGCTCTGCTGTTCCCCTTCGGCCTCCAGGTCTGCATCCCTAACTCTGCCACTCTGCCGGTTTTCCATCCAGACTGGGAAGCAGGCTCCCTAATGGAAGCAGGGTGGTCTGCAGAGAGCTGGGGACTCGGTCTCCTGTCCCCCTCAGCTAGCCCTCCTGTGCACTTTTCCTCCTACCCTGCTGCTGCAACTGCCCTCCTCCACCCACCTCTGCTGTGCAAGCTTACCTCAGCCCTTGCTCACCCTGCCTCCCCCCTGCCTCTTCATTCCAAGTGCTGTGGGCACAATGAGATATAGGCCGCATCCCATACCAAATGGTGGCAGATACCTTGATCTTGAAATGTCAGTGTTCTGTGCTCTTAGATCAGTAAAGTCTGTACTTAAAATTCAAGGTTGCAAATCAGAGTTTCTATGAATTCTAAATTCCTCATACAAAGTGAGTCTTTTATTAAATGCAAGTTTTCAATGCTAACCAAAGCAACTTCTTTTCATTTACATTTCTAGACTGTTGTCAGAAAACTCACTGATGGCTAAGAGACCTCTGAGATTGTGATGTGTTTTCTCAAGTCTCTTGCTGGGTTTTTCTACAGCTGGGTCACAGGACTGTTCCTAAACAGACCTGTCAGCCTTTGGTTGGTTCTTCCTGGGAATGGACCAGATGGATAGCCTTCTGGCACCCAGGGCATGGCAGCAGACAGATGTGGAGTGGGTCAAGTGCCACTGTATTCCTGAGATCCTCTCATTTCACCTGAAGTCCTGACCGCAGACTAGGCTAAGCACGTAGGATTGTTTCTTGCTTTTTTTTAATTACACATATTTATTGTGTGGGGGATGGGAAAACATGCCATAGCACATGTCTGGGGGTTCAGAAGACAACGTGTGGGGATTTGTTCTCTTTCCACCATGTGGGTACCAGGGACTAAGCTCAGGTTGTCAGGCTTGGTGGCAAGCCCCACTCCCTGATGAATCATCGTGTTGCCCCCCTTGCTATTCTTTGGAAGTAGATGATACTGATGGAAATAAACATGGAGAATGCAAATGAATGTCTTTGGCCTAGCTGCAGTGAGTTGCTTCCTAGTTGGTCAATGACCATTCCATTCTGTGTGTTGGGAGTGAGTGCAGTGTTGCCCTCAAGCAGCCTAGAGGTTGGAGTGTGGCTCTGCAACAGGGCCCTTGTTGGGCCTGTGTGGGTCACGCCTCCAGCATCAGCAGGGTTCAGGTATGACCAGGAAGGAGAGAATCTGCGAGGGGCCGTGAAGCAGCCACCAGAGTGTGTGTCTTCACAAGTGCGGGGCAGAGGGACTTACCTTGAAACTATTGGCCAACCAGGCACCGTCCTGGGCATGGTGCCAGCTGTACTTTCTGGATTCCCTACTGTTTAAATGCTGGTGGAGAACACCGGAAGCCAAGACGTCACTGCCATGGCAGCAGGCCCTGACTGCATGTGTGAGGGTGAGCCATGGGCAAGCAGAGCCAGCAAGATGCCCTTGGGTAGCGGCCATAGGGGAGAGATGAAGCAGGGGGGTTAGCAACCACCAGAGTGGGGTTGAGAGAGATTCTCCTTAAGAGTCAGAATATTCCAGAGTAGACACAGATGTTGTTACGGACAGGGTGAGGGGAGGGACAAGTGAGTGACCCATGAGTTGGGAGAAGGTTCTGGGTGCACCAGGAGTGCTGGGAAGAGGATGAAGAGCCTGCTGAGACTCTGCAGGGCCCCGATAGCAGGTGGAGACCTGGCCAGAGGTGTCAGAGCACCCAGAGTGGGAGGACCAGGGCAGCAGAGAGCATGCTTGCGGGATGAAGTCAGCCTGAAGCTCTGCAGTGATGTGCTGGCCTTGGCCTGATGTCACTTCACATCACCTGAAATTGTCTTGCATTGGTAAAACTGCCATACCTCTCCGTCTTCCTGGCCAGGTATCTAGTAGAAAGTTCTGTTCCTTCCTTTGGCCAACTGAACATATGTCACAGACACTCGCTTCCTTCCTCTCAAAGGCCAAGCAAGCACTCTACCACTGAAATACACTCCCTGTTCTGGTGTGGCTCAGCATTCAACAGTAACACACAGAACAGTAACACCCACAGGTGCTGGGAAAGGAGTGAGTGTGGGGCATCCTCATGTCCTCAACATCAAGCCAAGGTCACTATGCTATTGAAATAAAAACCCAGTGGGTTGTGCTGGGTCATGCAAAATATTCTGGTGTTTCCCCAAGAACACCATGTAAAATAGTGTTTTCCTAAGAAAACCCACACAGCAACCTGTCGCAGACTCCAGACTGAGGGAGGTTCCCAGCTGGCACCCATCCTTTCTGCCACTTCTGGCAGGATTCTCTATAGCAGAAATAACAGTTTAAATAAGGGGTGGGGGGAGACACTGGTTGTAGTGGTACATGCCTTTCATCCTAGCACTAGGGAGGTGGAGGCAGGCTGATCTCTGAGGTCAAGTACAACCTGGTCTACAGAGTGAGTTCCAGGACAGCTAGGGCTACAGAGAGAACCCCTATCTCAATAAACAGATAATAGAAAAAGGGTTTATTTTTACTTTTAAATTTTATATGCATTTGTTGTGTATAGCTATGTGCAGTGTGGGTGCAGGTGACCATGGAGGCCAGGAGAGGGCATTTTATCACCTGAACTAGAGTTACAGGTGGTTGTGACAGCCCAGCATGGGTGCTGGGAACCAAACTCCCGCAAGAATAGTACAAGCTCTTAACCGCCGAGCCATCTCTCCAGCCCCCAGTGGCTCCTGCATGTGTCCAGTGACTCCACCACATCTGGCATAGTACGGCATTTCTGCACAAGACCAGATGGTCCTACCCAGCTGTTCAATGACAGACCTTGACAGAAAACCCCTGGATTAATGTCCAAAAATGGATGGGTACTCCAAGGCAGGGGCTCCTGCCAAGCAGGCTGGTTGAAGAGGTTCCTTGCTCCCTGGCCTCTCCCAAGGCCACTGCTGTATAAATGACCTTGGTTCACAAGCCCTCTTCTCAACCAGAAGGGGAGATGACCCAGGCCAGGGGTCAGAGGGCACAGCTGTGGCAGGCCAACGGACCTCCAAAAGGAAACCAAACCAAGAACGACACCCAGAGCACTTTGAGTGACGTGTATTTGAGTTCTGGGGGGGGGGGGGGTTGTGGCACATGACTGGCCAATCTGACCTGGTTTTTGTAAGTTCATTTCCTCAGCAGGGAGGGCCTGGCAGCATGGGCTTCAACTCAGAACTGGAGGCAGGCCGGCTCAAGTCCCTGCCGTGGCTACAAGTGTCCCGGTGGGAAGGCCTTGGCTCAGAGCATAGGGAAGGGCACCTTCTTCCACAGTAGGAAAGGTCACAAGGGCAGGTGTGTGCTCTGCCACAGGCCACTGCAGTTGCAGAGTGCTTGGGAAAGCCAAGAACACTGACAGACCAGCCAGGCCACGGGTTTCGACCATCTCCTCTCCGGGGACTCAGGCTGGCTGCAAGGGCACCGGGGCTGCACAGGCCACCTTGTTGCTAAAGAGGCGTGACAGGCTGCGTTTGGCTGCTGGCCTTCGTGGCAAAGGTGGCACTGACTGGAGGCCACGCACGTCCCAGAGGCGCAGAGCACCGTCATGAGATGCTGTGTAGAGCACCTGACCATGGACCTGTGGGCAGGCAGGACGGCTGTCAGCCAGGAGCGGGCCCCTTGCTTCCCTGGGGCAGGAGAGCTGGGAAGGGAGACTCCTACCTGGAGGCAGTTGATGACAAAGCTGTGGCCTCGGAAGACCCTCTGCAGCACTCCTGACCGGGCGTCAAAGGCGCGGGCGCAGGCGTCCCCACTGCCCGTGAACACTGTGGACACACAGTACACTGGGCCCTTCCTGGCTGCCACCTTGCCACCTCCCCAGGAATGCGGCACGGTGAGAGGGTGGTCTGACCTCTGCCTGCCCCACAGAGACATCCTAAGGGTCAGGTGGGAAACATCTGGAAGCCTTCTGAAGGGCAACTCGGGCTCTCGGTCCTGTGGAGTCAGGGAGGGCACGGAGGGCCCCAGGACACCCCTGCTGTATGGACATCTTTGCACAGTCTGGCTGCCATGCCTTCCTTGACTTCCGGTCAGCCTGTGCTGTCCTGAGTGGCCCTGTGTCTCAAGAACCTCTCAGGGCCAGGTGCCCACCTTATACCCTATTGAGTTAAGCAGACTTCTCTGCCTTGTGTTTCTAGGACACTCACCACATCCTGCAGGCTCTGCCCTGCCCATTCATCACCTGTACCCAGGGCCAGGCAGAGCCCACCCACCCTCCTCAGAAAGGGATGCGGCCTTGAGGCAAGGCCCAGGCCCCGTCTGATTGCTGGGTCTTCCTCTGTCATAACATGGCTTGGTGGTACTCTGGCATCAAGGACACCAGAGTCCCTGCAGTGCTGACTGGGACAGATGGCTGAGTGCCACCCCACAGTTTCTGGTGCACTGAGGGGGGCCTGTGACTCCTTTTTAATCAGTACTGGTGAGGCTGGCGATGAGGACCACCTGAAGTAGCCAACTATGGGAGTTCAGTGGTTCACTTACCCTCCTACGCTGATTTCCCCAGAAGCCACCCCCTGAACAGGAGACCAGCAGTTCACATGGACAGTGCCGGAAGCATGGAGGTGATAGGGACGAAACCACAGAGGCCTGTTTAGTGAGCAGAGCGGCTCAGGTGGGGGTGGGGGGAAACTGTAGGTCCAGCGAGGAGGTAAGGATGCTGGGCCACACACCCTTCAATACCCCTGGTGAGAGAGTGGTCCTGGGGATCAGTCCCCAGCAGTCCTGCTTGCTTAGTGTGAACTGTCAACTTGTCCCAACCTAGAATCACCGGGGAAGAGAGTCTCATCTCACTGCAGAATTATCTCGGTCAGGGTAGCCTGAGGCATGACATGATGGTTAATTGAGGTGGGAGACCCTGAATGTGGGAGCACCATGTCAAGGGCTGAGCCCTGAACTGCGTCAGTGAGGAAAGTGAGCTGAGTACGCAGCTGGCAGTATCGGGTTCGCTCACTCCTCTCAGCTCTGGACGACCCACGTGGTGTAACCAGCTGACTTAGGCCCCTGCTGCTGTACCTCCCTGCAACCTGGAACTGTAAGACAACCCTTTCCTCTGAGTGTCTGTGACAGCAGCAGACGAAACCCCAAGGCTACCTTGTATTTGCCACTCTGGGCCTGCCCAAAGTCAGCCCCTCCAGGCTGCTCCCTGGTCTTCGTATCTATTTCTTACCCTTTCCTGCCTTTGTCTGCACACACTTCCCCTTTTCTTAAAGCTTGAGGGTGCACAGGGCCCCGGGAGGGAGTTTCCTTGCTGGGTTTCCTCAGTTCCTTCCTTGCCTCTCCCCAGACTCAGCAGCAGGGTCCAGCCCCCATGGGCTGCTGGGCATCTTGAGAGTAGACAGGGTCGGGAGCAAAGCCCATTCAGTAGCCTTGTTGGCAAAGACCAAGAACCAAGCTCAGTCATAGTGAGAGGGGCCTATGAGGGTGACTTCAGCACAGCTGTGCCAGTTGCCACCAAGGGGAGGGGCACAGGAGGCCACCTGGCAGTGTCTGGGGGCTAACCATTCTGTGCTCAGTTAAGTGAGCGGTGTCTGACCAGGGAGCAGAGCTATGCCCACACTAAGGCTTGGCTAACTCCTAGGGTTTCCACTCACAGGCCCAGCCCTATGGGAGTCTAACATCTGCTTCTGTTAGGGGCTCATGGAACTAAATAGGAAGGGAATAGCCACTGGCGGAGCGGAGGAGAAGGGGATGAAGACCCAGATGTGTGACCATCTGGGACCTAGGAGACAAAAAGCTTCCTCCCTCCCCAACAAGCCATTCCCCTTCAGACACCAATGAAATGGAAAGGTAGCCTGGCTCAGGGACGGCAAACCATGCGGCCATGGGAGGCAGAGGAGACGAACCAGGAGAGGAAGGGAGAGTGGGCAAACTGGAGTGGCATGGGCAGAGCCAGGACAGATGACTTACAGGTGCCTGCGTGGTACTTGAGGGCACTCACGCTGTGTCTGTGGGCCGGGAACGTGCGCACCCTCTCTCCGGTGTCGGCCAGCCAGCACTTAACAGTCCGGTCCGCACTGCCCGAGTACAGGAGCCGCTCTGTGAGCTGTCGGAAAAGCAGGAGGGTCTACCCATGGGCCTTGATGGCCAGGCAGCCCTCAAATCATTATTTACAAGGTGAGAAACATTGGCAGGTCTCAATGGGGGAAAGCACGGTGACCCCAAGACGTACTCCCCACCACCCACTAGAGCACTAGACAGTGCTGGCTCCTCTTTCCCCTGGGCCCAGAAGGCAGTGTCCTCAGCCCTAGAAAGCCCTGCAGACCCCAAACAGAACCCTACAGAAGCTAGCCAGACATAACCCTGCAGACCTTAGATGGAGCCCTGCAGATACTAGACAGTGTCCCTCAGACCCAGACAGAGACCCCCAGTCCCCATACAGCCCTGCAGACCCCAAGCAGAGCCACACACTCAGACAGAGCCTCTCCACTGGCTCCTCCTCCTCCTCCTCCTCCTCCTCCTCCTCCTCCTCCTCCTCCTCCTCCTCCACAGGCTCACTAATAAAGCCTTGGTCCCTAGCTGATGGCACTCAGGAGAGGTAGCAGAGCCTCCAGAGAGTCAGAGGACACAGGAGAGGCCTGTCACTAAGTGGCAAGCTCAGTGCCCAGGCATAAACAGAAGCCCCCTGCCTACACACGATCCTCACACACAGCAGTGCCCGCCCCCAGTACTCCTGTTAAGTGGGGACACACTGAGCCATGCTCCAGCTGAGGGTCGGGTCACTTCCACACTCAGCCCTGGAGAGACCTAGAAGCCTGTTGTCACCACTAGCATATTGGGTGAGAGAACTGGTACCCAGGACTGAAGGCTGACAGTATACACAACCCCAAATACGGCAGCAAAGGCACTGTGTTCAGACCCTCCTCCAGCTCCTAAAAACTGAGAAAAGCCCTGTCTCTAGGGGAAGAAAAAGGTTCCAGTTGCCAGAGACAGAAACTCAGCTCAGGAAATACACAGACGCAGGTCAGGTCTTAGGGGTTTTTGTTGATGTTATTTTTGTGTATGTATGTATGAGTTCATGTTCCGTGTGTGTGTGTGTGTGTGTGTGTGTGTGTGTGGAGAGAGAGAGAGAGCAGTGATCAACCTCTGCTGACCCTCAGGCATCCTGAGCTCACTAATTAGGTTGGGCTGGTTGGGCAGCAAGCCATAGGGGTCCGCCTGCCTCTGCCTCTCCAGGGTGGGTTACAGGCACGTGCCCCCAGCTTTTCTTTTCTCTTTCTAATTACTTATTTTTTTTTTTTTTTTTTTTTTTTTTTTGGTTTTTTGAGACAGGGTTTCTCTGTGTAGCTTTGCGCCTTTCCTGGGACTCACTTGGTAGCCCAGGCTGGCCTCGAACTCACAGAGATCCGCCTGCCTCTGCCTCCCGAGTGCTGGGATTATAGGCGTGCGCCACCACCGCCCGGCTTCTAATTACTTATTTTATGAATATGAGTCTTCTACCTATCTGTACAACTTATGTCAGAAGAGGGCAACAGATCCCACTAGAGATAGTTGTGAGCCACCACGTGGTTGCTGGGAATTGAACCTGGGTCCTCTGGAAGAGCAGCCAGTGCTCTTAGCTGCTGAGCCATCTTTCCAGCCCCAACACACCCAGCTCTTCTACATGGTGCTGGGATGAACTCAGCTCCTCAGCTTGTGCAGCAAATGTTTGAGCCAACTCCCTAGTCTGTTTTTTCGGACAGGATCTCACTGTGTAGCCCAAGCTGGCTTCAGATTCCCTCCTGGCTTCCCCAGCAGCAGGATTCCAGGTATTCTCAATCACACTTAGGCTGTTAAAAGTTCCTTTCTCTGTTGGGTCATTTCTTCGGGCCTACCTCCCCTTTGTCTGGATATATTTTCAGGAATCTTCTTCTTCAGTCGACTTACTGTCCATTTTCCTGGCAAGGTCTGCACTGCTGAGATCTGACTGTATCTCCCACAAAACATAGGCTGGACACTTTCCCAGTGCAAGAGTGTGGGTGGGCCAGGGCCAGGCATAATGGCGCACACCTTTAATCCCAGCACACATGAGGCAGGGAAGCAGGTGGATCTCTGTAACTTCAAGGCTAGCCTGGTCTACACAGAATTCCAGGATAGCCAGGAGTACACAGTGAGACCCTGTCTCAAAAATCAATCAACCGCCGGGTGGTGGTGGCGCACGCCTTTAATCCCAGCACTCAGGAGGCAGAGCCAGGCAGATCTCTGTGAGTTCGAGGCCAGCCTGGGCTACAGAGCGAGTTCCAGGAGAGGCGCAAAGCTACACAGAGAAACCCTGTCTCGAAAAACCAAAAAAAAAAAAAAAAAAAAAATCAATCAACCAATCAATCAATCAATTAATTAATTAATGATTGTAGGGTTGGGGATGTCTAATAGAAAGTGTTTAGTGAGCTGGGCGTGGTGGTACATGCCTTTAATCCCAGCACTCAGGAGGCAGAGGCAGGAGGATGATCTCTGAGTTCACGGCCAGCCTGGTCTACAGAGTGAGTCCCAGGACAGCCCGGATGACACAGAGAAACCCTGTCTTGAAAAACAAAAAAGAAAGGTGTTTAGGCCACGAGAACTCTAGCAGCTCCACACGTGAGAGAACTGATGGACGGATGCAATGAACGGACGGGCACTGTGAACGAAGGCTACTTGAGGCTGTGTTCCCCTCGTCCCTTCCTCCCACAAGAGGACATGCAGTCTGGCAGCAGTCGGGCAGGGCCTCACCTCCAGACAGATGACAGAGCCCTGGTGCTCCCGGAACACCCGCAGCTGCTCCCCACTCAGGATGTCCCACGCACGGACGGTGGCATCCGTGCTACCTGTGAAGGCCGTGTGGCTGGAGACATCCAGCACCAGGCACAGCACTGCACCTGTGTGGCCCCGAAGTGTCTGGTGGCAGCAGCCACTGGCCACCTGCCACACCTTGGCTGTGTCGTCTGTGCTGCCGGTCACTAGCAGCCCGCCACCCATGGCGGCCTCCAAGCAGGGATCACTGGGCAGGTCCTTGGGGGCCGAGTAGGCTAGTGTCAGCACACAGTTGCGGTGGCCCCGGAACTCCTTGGACACTTGCCCTTTGTCCACAGTCCAGGCACGTGCTGTCCGGTCATAGGAACTGCTGAAGAGCTGGTCATCTGCAACTAGGATCCTGTGGGTAAGAGGGGAAAGGGTCAGGCTCAGAACACCCAGGGTTGAAGGGATCCACCCGGCCCTCACAGGCAAGCCTTGGCCCTGTAACAGACAGCCTCCAGTCCCTGCCCTGCTCCACACTCACTTTCCAAGGTCTAGCTCGAAACACCACATGTCCACTGTGCCCACCCCCCAGGCACCCCTTCATTCTCAATTCTTTCCCTCTTTGACAAACCTGCAAACCTGCAGGCCTGACCTGTACCCCAGCAGGGACCCTGTCTCTGGGGCATGATTCACATAACACTATCCAAGCCAGAGACACAGGAGGAAGAGGGGACACAGGGCTTTCTGTTTAAAATAGGAAAAAGCCGTTCAGGGAGCTGAGGCAGAAGGACTGCCTTGAGTTCAAAGTGAGTTTGAGGCAAGCCCCAGGCTATACAGCGAGAGAGACCCCGCCTCAAAAAGCCTGCTCTCACACTGCTAAATGCTACAACCTCCCAGAAAAACACATTTGTCTTCAGAGAACTTTGCACAGAACTCCCAAGGGCCTGTTTACACGTCCTTGTTAAGAAGTCTAGACTCACCAGGTATGACCCACGCCTGTAATCCCAGCACTCAGAAGACAGAGGCAGGTGGATCTCTGAGCCTGAGGCTAGCCTGGTCTACATGGCGAGTTTCTGATCTGTTGAGAGTCAAAGAAACCCCTTGACAAGAACCTATGATGTTCTAGGGGTGCAGCCCCATAGGGGGTGCTCGAGGCACTGGGGTTCTCAATGGTTAATGTTGCCAACTTGGTAAGATTTAGGATCACCATGGAAACAAGCCTCTGGTACATCTGTGACCTTCTAGATTAGGTTAAGTGAAGTAGGAAGCTCCATCCTAAGCAGGTGACACCATTCCCTGTCTGTGGTCCTGGGCTGAATAACAAGGAGAAAGTGAGCGGATCGTCGGTGTGACCTGACCGGCGGCTGTCTCCTGCTCCTGCAGACACGCCCTCCCTGCCGTGATAGACTGGCTCCCTTTATTCCTTTTTGCTGTCTCTGGGGGTGAGTGATGTCCAAGCAATGAGAAAAGAAACTAACACGGGCTAAGCGGCCCTGGGCAGATGCGGCAGAATGTACAACAGGGACGTGAGGCCACTGAAGGATGGTGTGCTCGAAGCTCACACACACACAGCCTAGCTCTAAAAACAGAAGTGAGTTCCAGCCTCTCACCCATTTGGGAACACAGTCATCGGAGTATGTCCTTCGTGTGGTGGATTTGGAACAGCCACTGATGGGAAAGAGTGTATGTGTGTGCGTTTGTGTATGTTCCGTCTGTGCACGTGGATTGGACACACGTGGAGCACATGTGTGGACATTCCTTTGTATATGTATTTGATGCATCTCAGTTATGTATGTGTTGTGTATATGTATGTTTATATGAATGATCTTGTTCATACATATGCATGTTGCGTGTATGCTGTATGTACGTGTGTATCCATGTGCTGTACCTTTGTGTTGTGTTATGTATATTACCTGTGTGTGGGCATGGATGCTAAACCTCGAAGAGCATAGTTTCCGCCTTGTTTAGAGAAGCTTGTGACTGTTCCCTAATCAACAACCTGAGGACAAGCTGGTCATCTGAGGCATGGACCCTCACCCCCCTAGGCTGGCTTCTGACGGATGCCTCAGTTTCTGTTTTTGTGGAGAACATTTTTTGTATAGACAGGAAAGGGAGGGATTCAGAGACAGGGTCTCCTCTAAGCCAGACTGATCTAGAGCTCATTCTGTACCCAGGCTGGCCTTGAAGTCATGGAAATTGCACTACCTCAGTTTCCCAAGTTCTAGGACAACAGAAACAAGTGACCATGCCCGGCCAATGACAGACATCTTGCTGGGAAAGGCCAGTTTGAACTGTGAGGGTTTTCTCCTTCTAAATCTAGCATCTCCTGCAGACACCTTCAGACTGTGAGCCGCCATCTGACGGGGGCTCTGGAGCTGCAGTTAGCTTGGGTAGCTAATCTGCCTGTCTGGAGGCCCACACAGCACTCAGAGCCCGCCCTGGCTACAGCACAGCCTCTCCTCCGCGTCCACAAAGAAAGGCCCTTGGGTCTTTCCCAAGTAGGGACTCTCCTATCAGTGTGACTCCACGGGTTCCAATGCTAGGCATCTACTTGGAACTTGGGAGCCCTGGGCAACTGTTGTGTGTCATAACAATAACATCAAGTTGATCTGGTCAGCAAACAAATTTCCACTGCTCAGGTCCAACCTAAATTCAACAAGGAAAAAAATTCAGATCCCGAAGAAGGCCAGGAGACCTTCAGTAGCCATAGGAAAGGAAGTTTAAAAACATCACCAACTGCATCTCCCTCCTCCTCTGAGCCCCTAGCTGTCATTGGTGTCATATAAGCAGTCTCCTCTGGAATTCGCTCCCATCGGTGGGTGCTGTAGCTCCACTTCCCCACACCCAGAGGGGCAGTCAGGGTGTGTGGCTCCCAGAGGACAGACTATGCTAATATATGCTAACGATGCCTCTTTCCTGTGGCTCCTCTGCCCCATCATCCCGCTACCACAAGTGGTTAGCTGCCCTGCTCAGAATCAGTCCTCCATGTCTGTCTTCTTGGCCCATACCCCGGGGCTTGGCTGACCTGTTCACGATGGACGTGTGCCCTCGGTACACCTGCAGACACTGCCCGGTCCTAACGTCCCACTTCCGGATGGTGCAGTCGGCACTACAGGTGAAGGCGGCTTCATCCTCCAGCTGGCAGAAGGTCACATAGCTCTCATGACCTACCATGAGAGGAAATGTGAGCTGGCCAGGCACCAGCTCTTCTTTTCCTGTGTGTGCAAGTGGATACATGAGAGCAGAAGCATCTGAGGCAAGTCTGGGAGACAAGCCCTCCTTCTGTCCTACAGACCAGCATCTTACTTTGTAGCCCAGGCTAGGCTTGAACTCACAATCCTGCCTCAGCCTCCAGGGTGCTCACTCAGATCCCAGGAGTAAATCGCCATTTCCAGTGAGACTGACCCTTTTGTGATTTTTTGTTTGTTTGTTTTCAAGACAGGTTTTTCTCTGTGAAGCAGTCCTGACAGTCCTGGGATTCACTCTGTAGTTGGCTTCGAACTCAGATATCTGCCTGCCTCTGCCTCCCAAGTGCTGGGGTTAAAAGTGTGTGCCACCACTGCCCAGCTCCCTTTTGTGATTTTTAAACCTGTCTGTCTGTCTCTCTCTGTCTGTCTCTGTGTGTGTGATAGAGAGGTGTTTGTGCGTGTGTGTGTGTGCGTGTGTGTGTGTGTGTGTGTGTGTGTGTGTGTGTGTGTGTGTGTGCCAATGGACACATGGAAAAGGACTGTCTGGTCTGCCCTACCACTCTCTGTGTGTTCTCTTGAGAGTCTCTCACAGAACCTGGAGCTGGGCTGAGTACAGGCCCCAGTGATCCTCCTGTGTCCATCTTCCACAGCACTGGAGGTTACAGTAGTTTGCAAAAAAGCACCCTCAGCTTTTTACATAGGTTCTGGAGATCTGAATTCAGGCTCTCCCAAGCTGAGCACCAAGCCCCCTGATTCACTGACCATCTCCCCAGGACCTGCTCCCCTTTTATTTTGAGACGTTTTCATGTATACCAGGCTGGCCTTGAACTCCTGATTCTCCTAAATCTACCTCCCACCATTGGGATTAAAAGCATGTGCCAGGCGGGCGGTGGTGGTGCACGCCTTTAATCCCAGCACTCGGGAGGCAGAGGTAGGTGGATCTCTGTGAGTTCGAGGCCAGCCTGGTCTACAAAGTGAGTTCCAGGAAAGGCGCAAAACTACACAGAGAAACCCTGTCTCGAAAAATTAAAAAAAAAAAAAAAAAAAAAAAAGCATGTGCCACCACACCCAGGTCTTTAATCTCATTTGAGAATTTTCTTTCATAGCTGGAGTCAGGCAAACAGGAATTTTAGCAATCTCTCCGGCAGGATCAAGCTTGTTAACTTTTTTTTTTTTTTTTTTTTTTTTTTTTTTTTTAAGGTCCTGGGTTAAACTTAGCTTGGAAGAACTTGACTTCCTAGGTTCTAAGAAAGAGAATTTTAATAAAAGCTCTCAGTCTTCCGGGAGAGTGCATGCCAGGCTGCTCTGAAAACAATGCAAGAATTAAGTAAACCCGTAAGAAATGGCAGATTGTGTTTCCCCGAATACACAAGTTGATGAAAAAGCTAAGGGCAAATCTGTTTGGCAAAACATAGCCCAGATTTTTGCCAGAGTTTATAAATATTTCTTAAAGTTGTCAACAAACTTTCCCTGAGACCAGTCTGCCTCCCTCTTCCAAATGCCTCTTGGGAGCTGAGATACCCCAAGAAAGGCAGCCAAGGTGTGCCAGGCCTACCGGGTACTGGCATGGCATGACTCCAGGCCCCCCTAATGACTTTGTATGGGAGTTACCTCCCATAGCCCCCTAATAACCGTGGATGGGCGTCACCACCCATGGCTCCTAAGGACCGTGAGCCAAGGCTGGCTGAGGCCCAGAGCAACTGCTCCAGCAGCGCCCAGCTGCCGACGTCCCCTCGACACAGTGGGTCAAGTGCAGGAGTGAACCATAAATCGAACCATGAAGAAGCACCTGAGAGCCACGTGGAGCTATTGGGCAACGGCTCCCGTTGTGTGGAACCGCGGAGGGAGCCTGGCTGCTGAACCTGAGGTGGGGGCAGCTCTGTGGCACGTTAGGGAGAGGGCTGAACACACAGACTGAAAAGAGACACTAAACGAAAGCAACAGCAGTTTTCCCTGTTTCTGACTGCAAGCCAGGCTGACCTAGCAGCCTCTGCCCTCTGCAGCCAGGCACTGAGCCAAGGGAGGCTCCCTCAGCACCCAGGACTCCACTGAAGGCAAAGGCCCTCTCCAGTCTCTATAGCTCACCCCCCAAGCAGCAAACACACCCGCTTAGATCGTGGGTCAGAGCCTGCCAGCTGAGGGCCTGGACGCTGCTGTGCCTGTCCCTTGTCCACCCCCCAAATCCCCACCCCACCCCGGTACACTGTAACCAGTGCCACCAAAAGACTGATGGGCCAGACCCAGGGCTGGTGGGGTCACCACTGAGGGTGGGAGGAGCTGTGTCTGCCGGCTCTGGACCTATCACCTCCAGGGACCTCAGCTTTCAGCTGTTGGAATTGTGCAGAATAAGCAAAAAACGCCAAGCTGAAAGTAAATATTTTTGAAGGGATAAAGAATGCAGATAAGATGTAGTTATTGCATTCAGAAGAGCAGCCCTGGGGGCTCCTGCTGAGGCAGCGGCCCTTCTCGCCTCCCTGGGCACTGAGGGTTTGCCAAGATCTGCTGTTCCCTCTACACAAGGGAAAAGTGGCCCAGAACCCAGGGCCGCAGGGGACACAGCATGAAACAAGTCCTCTTTTCTCTTTTAGTCCCCAGGATCACACAACAAAGCAGCTGGCCACCCCAACTGCCACTCGGTGACTGCACCACATAGTAACGCATCCTTACCCCACCCTGGGAACACAAGCAGGTACTGTAATTTGTGCAGAAAAGTACACTTGCTGGGTGGCCCCTGGTTGTGGGAGCCCACAGAGGTTTCCTAGTTAGATCTGAGCTTGCTTTACACAGCAGGGCTGCATAAGGGGATGGACTGACCACGTGCTTGGTTACAAGGTGTTTGGAAGGGTTTGCACTTGGCTGTGCTAGGGGGAGGTCTTTTGCTCCACCCCTTGGCATTTCTATAATAGCCCTTTAGAAGAGACAGGAGGGGCTGTTGGGTATTGACCTAGGCCCTCCCAAGGCTATCCTGTGTTTCTGTCCCTAAGCATCTCTTTCTATCTAAATGTTTCTCACTTCTCCCTCCTCAAGAGTTCCCTGGGATAAAAGAGGGAGCGGGTCTCCCACACCTGGTCCTCCCCCTTCCAGTAGGTTTCACACGGTGGGAGACTTTAGGCCAAAACGTTACCTCGGGCTCTGACACAGAGGGCTGCCTCAGGCTGCCCGTGGCCCTCCAGTCAAGGTCCCCTTGCCCCAGAGGAGCCTTCCCCCCAGCTGCCTCCAGGCTGTTGCAGCTGTATTGCCCCTGGGAGAAGTGATGTCTCGGTGGTTCTTCTTCTTCTTCGTATAACACTCTGTCCACTTTGTGGTGTCGCTTTCTTAGATGCTTATGAATTACCCTATGTAAAGGGAGCCAGGACCCTGACTGGTACCGCCCTTCAGCAGGTGACATCTGGCACTCAGATGTGCCAGAGTGGACATTGTCCAAAGCACCAGGATCATGGTCTATCTGCAGGCTGTCACTCAGAACTGAGAATCACATCAGGGCTTCCTGGATTTCTGTGTGGGAATCAGGCCCATCGGTCCCGAGCTGCCACCATCAGCCATATAAGACATGGCCTTCTCCTTCAGCACCAGCCCAGCCATGACCCTCCCACAGCCTCACCCACCACTCTGGCACCTTTCCCCTTAGCCTTCTGAACAGGCAACAGGGAACCTACCCTTGAACCTCCAAAGTGCGGTCACTAAGACAGACGACATCTTCATGGAATTCTTCCTTGAGCAAATACTGATTTGCTTATGTGTAGCAGTCCTCCCAGTACTCCTCTATGCCTTGTGAGGGGCTGGACAGACAGCTCAACAGTTAAGAGCACTGGCTGCTCTTCTAAAGGACGTGGGTTCAATTCCCAGCACCCCCACATGGCTGCTCATGACTATCTGTAACTTTAGTCCCATGGGCTCTGACACCCTCTTGTGGTGCCATCAGGCACACATGTAGTACATAGACATACATGCAGGCAAAACATTCACACATATAAGATAAAAAATCTAAAAATAAATTTTAAGTGCATGAGTTGTTAGCTTACCTGACCCTCAAAGCTAACAGTTAACACTGTGCTTGGGTCCTGTCCCAGGCCAGTGCCCTCCCCTGAAGCTTGCAACCATGAGGGGCTCACAGGAGATGCTGAGGCCAAAGAAGGATGTGGAGCATCCACCGTGGCCTAGAACCTTCAGGTCAAGTCCCTTACTCCATTGGGAACCAAAGAGGGCAGCACAGACATCTCAGGATGTTTTCTCAGGTCAGGATCCAGTGTCCTGAAGGACATGGATACCCCACAGAGGGCAAAGAGGGGACTGGAGACCACTACCATCCCAGCAATCCTCTTCCCAAAATAAGTACCAGTCAACCCTTCTTCACCAGTGTTCACCCCTGCATCTGAAACCACCCCTTCTAAATGTGTGTGTCCGCAGCGGGAAGCCTGAGCATTCCGGTCCCACTGATGCTGCTCTGTGACCCTTCTGAGACTCTTCGGAGAGTTCCAACAGAAATCATCTGCCCAGCAATCTCCACTTTCGTCTCCATCCCAGCCCCTGGTCCAAACTTCCCCAAGCTCTGGAAAATACTCAGAAAATCCTCCAGCCCAGACAGCCTCAGCTGCTGAGAACTGATAAGGAAGCTTGAACACACAGCCCAGTCACCAATCTCAACCGCTCTGCCCAAGGAACCAGGGCTGTCCAAACAATAGGCAGGAATTCCAAGGCCTTTGCAAGCCTAAGGCTACACAAGGGTCCAAGCCCTCCACAGGAACAGAAGGATGCCTGCATTCACGGGCAGTTCACAGGGATGAAAGCTGCCTCTAGCTGGCTGTATGGCCTGGGCACAGCTTCCCTGCAGCAGGACCCTGAGGAGAAGCAGTAGCCACAAGCAGTGGGCTGCTATGGACCAGTCTTGCCACCTTGTACAAGTCCTCTAGTTCACTCCCGCTTGGGGGATGCTGAGGCTACACTCACCTCCAGGCAGCATCCAGAAAACACAAGACATTCTGCAATAATAATTAAGTCTGCCTTTGTCCATCTCTGGTTCATAAACTGGTGTCAGTGGGGCTTGTGGAAATGGCTCAGTGGCTAAGAGCACTAGCTGTTCTTCCAAAGGACCCGGGTTCTTTTCCCAGACCCCACATGGAGGCTCACAACCATCTGTAACTCCAGTTCCAGAGTATTTGATGCCCTCTTCTGGCTTCCTTGGGTACCAGGCACACAGTTGGCGCACAGACATACATGCAGGCAAAATACCCATACACATAAAGTAACCCCCCCCCCCATACACATACATACACACCCACAAAGCACAGTTCCTGAGGAACACCTAAGGTTAATATCTGGCCTCCATATACAGGTACATACACTTGCATTCATGTATGCCCAAAACAAAAGGGGTGTGTATGTGTAATCAATCCTACTAATATCTCAGGAGGAAGCTGCTGGGGGAGACCTTGTTTTTCCCAGGTGGAGGGAACACAAACAGAAAGATACCAAATAACCACACTGACTCGTGCAAGCTCAGTCATAATCAGGAAAAAAATACCTTTGTCCCTTTTATCCTGGTACAGTTTTGAAACGCCAGCCTTTAGAAACAAAGACTCAGAGTCTTCACCCTGGCAAGAACAGCCGAGGCAGGGGATCTTCAACAGTTTCCCCTTCAGTGGGGTGGCTTCCCACTAGGGCCAGGCCAGGCATCCCTCACTGGGAAGCTGTATTATATTGATGGGACACACAGCTGTGAGGGCCACAAACGTAGGTGTGAAGGATGCTGGGTGCCAGTCACAGCTGGGCTCAGGGATGGGCCCTGGAAACTTGGCAGGATTCCAGAGCTACCCTGGGACAAGCCACTGGGCCAGAACCAGCCTGGGAGGCCTAGACTTTCTGAGGAGAAGCCTCCTTGACAAACAGGAGTCCCACTGGAGTCCCAGGCACAAGCGCTCCACAGGCTGGCTGTGCACTAGTCACCCAAACCCTGATGAAACAGCAATTGGAAACACCAACCAAGCCTGGCATGGTGTAGAGCCTCTGACTGCAGGTATTTTGGAGGTGGAGGCAGGAGGATCAGGAATTCAAAGTTACAAGGTGAGTGTGCTGTCTAGTTTTATGTCAACTTGACACTAGCTGAAGTCATCTGAGAGGAGGGGACCTCAATTCAGAAAATATCTGTAAAAGATTAGACTGTAGGCAAGCTTGCCGGGCATTGTCTTAGTGATTGATGGGGGGAGAGCCCACAGCCCACTGGGGGCTGGTGGTCCTGGGTTCTGTAAGAAGGCAGGCTGAGCAGGCCATGGAGAGCAAGTCTGTAAGCAGCACCCCTCCATGGGCTCTGCAGCAGCTCCTGCCTCCAGGCTCCTGCCCTGCTTGAGTTCCTGTCCTGACTTCCTTCAGTGACAGCAGTGTTGTAGAAATGCATAAGCCTAATAAACCCTTTCCTCCCCAGCTTGCCTTTAATTGTCTTGTTTCATTACAGCAACAATAACCCTAACTAAGACAGTGACTTTGAAACCTGAGGGTGACATGAAACCCCGCCTCAAACCAAAATGGAAGCCAAGCGGTGGTTGTGCACGCCTTTAACTCCAGCACCCAGACTCTGAATTTGAGGCCAGCCTGGTCTACAGAGTGAGTCCCAGGACACAGAGAAACCCTGTCTTGGAGAGAGAGAGAGAGAGAGAGAGAGAGAGAGAGAGAGAGAGAGAGAGAGAGAGAGAGAGAGAGAGAGAAAGAAAAAAACCAAAATCAAACAAGCCAATTCCAAGGTTCTCCTCTGGGGAATCTTTGGAGCCAGGCCAAAGAACCTGCACTCTTAAGAACCCCAGACAGTCTTTTCTTTGGGAAACAATGCGTATTTAACTTGAGCTAACAGCTCTCCTCCTAAGCGGGGCCTGTCAGTGAATGCTGGCTGTGTGGAGAAGAATGTGGACCAGTTTGCAGCCAATTCCCCATCTTTACACCAGCTCCCAGGTACCTGTCAATCCAATGTTCCTCCCTTCGGGGCCATGAACTAGCTACCTTACACTGTTTTCACTTAAAACTGATAGTGGAGGAATGAAGCAGTTTCAAGACTAACACTATCTTTCTGGAGGGCTTGAGCCAGGCCACCCAGCATTTGCTGATCGTGGTGGAAAAGCTGGAGATAAAGAGCCATACCTTGTGCAAAAAGCTTGGCATGCCTCAAGCCTGCATGCGCTACTGCAGAGGCCAACAGCAGGTCAGGGGGCCTCCACAGAGCAGCGTGGGGAGCACCCAGGACAAGGCTGCTCAGGATGCGAACAGAATTGAATCAATGGGTGAATACCCGGGACACACTGTAAATTCTGCGCATGGTAATTCCGTGTTTCCTTTCAAATATGCTAGATAAACTCGACCCCACTTCTCAGAAATTTGAATCAATCTTCCCCTTTCTTCTGGCCATAACTGACACGAGGCCAAAAAGAGCTGAGGGAGGGGGGTTTGGGGGGGGGATTCAAATCTCAAGGGTGGCCCTCAGCCCTGGACAAGTCCCTAACGTAGTGACATCGGTTCGTGTCTGGGTTAGGGTCACAGTGTGAAGACAGCCCACAGCAGCGTGGATCCTCAACAACCTCTACTGTTACAAGGGCCCCCAAGTGGAAATGTCGGCCAAGGGTCACCAGGTCAAGGAGTGCCGCAGGAAGTGTTCTTTAGGGTATGGGCGAGACTTTTTGTTTGCTAAAAATTTTGTCACGATAAGGATTGCATGGGACTGGTCGACAAAACGATCTTGCATTAGGGTGCGCGCCCCTTAGTCACCCACACCCAAGCACCCTCGGACTCTCACGGCGCCCCACCACGAGCTCAAGGGTTGGGTGAGCCCCCGGGTGTGAAGGAGCTAGATAGAGCTCTACTCTTCCAGAAGGGGACTGCAGGCCCCGGAAGAGTGAGGTCCGGGGTGCTGGGCAGGTGAGCATGGCGAGGCTGAAAGGGTCGCGAGCACGCGCGCTCGTCTACCTTGCAGGAGCGCGCAGCACTGGCCGTCCGCGGTGCTCCAGAGGCGGGCCGTGCCGTCCTCGCTGCCCGTCAGCAGGCGCTGCCCGTCGGGGCTCAGACTCAGCCAGTTGATGCCCCCGCGGTGGTCCGCACAGACCCTCAACGCCGACCCGCTGCTCCCCATCGCCAGGCGGGGGTAAAGAGGCGCTGTGGCCGGCTAGAGAGCGGTGCTCCAGCGTCCGCACGTGGTCCTGGCGGGGCCCGGACGGACAGCGGCCATCGCAGGGGGGACCTGGTGCCCCGCTCCTGCAACGGCTCGCGGTGCGGCTGGGAACAACAGAGACTCTGACTCTCCACCGGTATCCCCCGCTCGCGCGGCTCCGACACAGAGCTCCAGGTGAGACCTCCCCTCCTCTGAACCGTCTCGGGGCGCAGGGGGGCCGCCTCTGCCTCGGGGTGCGCCCACTGGGTCTGAAGCGGGCAGAAGAACCCGAGAAGCGGAGCGCGGAACAATACAGTCCAGCCTGGCTCCTCCTCAGAGACCACCCCCCAACCTGTCCCCTCCCACTTCTCCGGCCGCGCGCCAACCCCCACCCCAAGACGCTCTGGTCGTCCTTTGGGAACAGAAGTGAGATGCTACTCTGGTCCCGGCTTGGGAACCGCTTCCACGTGTTCCACGTGAGACCCTCCTAGCAGTCTAGGCTGGGTTCTGTCCCCTGCTCTTCCAGCTGTCCCTGTCCCCAGAGCCCAGGGCAAGGAAGAAGTGGACATAAGAGTCTGGAGTCTTGGGGGAACCCCCGGTGATGGGAGCTGGGGAGCCCCGAGTCCGCCCTCCCTGGGAAAACACGAACACACACCGAATTCTACCAGGGCTGGGCAGGGGAGGGCTGGATCCCGGGCCTTGGGGGTGGGAGGTAGGGGCAAGCCCAGATGGGGGAGGTCAGGTTTGTCCCTCCCACACCCATCGCCACCCCACCCCCTACGCCCTCAGCAGGGCGCGCGCCTCTGAGGTCCCACTGAGGTCTGGCGGAATCCTACACCCGGCCCGCAGCCCTCCCGGAGCTCAGTCGGCTGGTTCCTATTAGAGCAGTTCCGGGTGTCAACTTTGCTGGGGGGCGGGGAGGGTGACCCCCCTACACACACTCGGATCCTCCAGGTCCTAAAGGTAGCAGGGTTTCTCAAACCCTCCAGGGCTCTTTTTGTAGTCCAAGGAGAGAGGAAGGAAAGCGATGGTTTGGGGGAGCCAGCCCCCTGGGTAATGTGATGACCTGCCCTGCCCACTCTGGCTGACCCTGTTCAGTTCCAAGAAAACCCCAGAAATGGGTTCCATGGAATAGCCGGCTTTATTCCCCGAGTGGCGCAATCAAATAAACGTGTTTTTCCTCCCAGCAGAGGGTATTAAGGAGTGTTTTGATGGGCTCTTGAGTGTGGAGGCAAGAGGCTGCCGGCGATCATAGAAAGGGTAAAGGACTCAGGATCCAAAATGCCTCTAAGGGCCCATCCTGAGTTCATCTAGTACCTTGACCTTTACAGGGCCTTTGCCTCATCCGGTTGTGAAGACCAGTGGGTCAGGGGACATTGTAAAGGAGTTGGAGAACAGCCAGGGATAGGTGGTGTAAACATATTCACAGCCTCAAAGAGCTTGCCCAGCAGGGGATAGGGCAATAGCCACCTTGGGGGGGAGGGGGCAACACTTCCAAGGTGGGTCACATGATATGAGCAAAGTGGGACTCCTCTACTTCTGGTTTGTCTACCAGTCCCCAGGAAAACATCTGTTTGCTTCCTCAACCCCAAACCTGCAGAGGAACCAAAGCTATCAATTCATTTCTCAGGTAGGTTTTTTTTTTTTTTTTTTTTTTTTTTTTTTAAATAAATGCTGACCATATGCTGATAATGGCAGTTTTTTTTTTTTTTGTTTTTTGTTTTTAAAGATTTTATTTATTATGTATACAGCATGTATGACCAGAAGAGGGCACCAGACCTATTACAGATGGTTGTGAGCCACCATGTGGTTGCTGGGAATTGAACTCAGGACCTCTGGAAGAGCAGTCAGTGCTCTTAACCTCTGAGCCATCTCTCCAGCCCTCAGGTAGGTTTTGTTCCCAGTGGCTGTGTGCTTGTGCAGTTACTGTGTTGGCTCGGGTCGTGTCTCTGCCCTTTTCCTTTACAGGGTAGCTGGAAAATCCAGCAGGATTTTCCTGGAGACAAGAAAGAAAGCAGAAATCCAGGTCCTTTGAGCCTGGAGTCTTCTCCACCTAGAAACAACAAAGCTTGAGCTCCAGAAGCCAGGTAGGGCAGCCGCACAGCTGATATCAGCAAAAACTGGTGTGGGTGTGGTCCCAGGCCGCCAAGCCCCCTGCAGGAGCCGTGTGCTCTGAGAGCCAATAGTTTGCAGAATGCAAAGCACCATAAGAAGAGGAATGGGGCCGGGAGGAACAGTCACATCCAAGAGGCAGAAGGAAAAGGCAGACTGTTCAGAAGAACCCCAGCATCAATGGACGTGACCATCTGGTGCCAGGGAGGGCCCATCCCCAAGGCCACACAGATAGTCTCAATGTCACCTGTTAGAAAGACTGACCCTCTGGGACTCTATGAGAAACACCTAGAATGGTGATGATCTCAAAACAGGAGGTAACAGAGGGAACCACCTTTTGGGGTCCCTGTCATGAGCGCACACTGTCAGAAACATAAATGACACATTTGTGTCTTCCCACGTCAGAATTTGTTTGAATCACAATAAATTCACACGGTTGCAATTTCAGGGGAGCAGTTTGTCAAATTATCCCTCCCACCACACTCTCCTTGATTGTGTTGAACAAGGTAAACATAGGCTTTTATTCCAGGCTTAATTATTAATATTAACTTTCAGATTATATCATACACATAGTAAATGTGTGTGTGCATATGCATAGGTTACAGAAAGGACACAAAAGGGTTAAAAAGCAAGGAGTTCTGAAGAGGCCTGAGATGCCAAAGCTGGGAAACTGATAGCCATATTGACTGTGTGGGGGTGAGATATCAAACCAGCTGGCGGTCTCCGGAGAGGGCCTGCAGCTGCAATTGCAGTGTCCAGCTGCAAAGCCAGAGCTGAGCTGTGGAGCTGAGTCCAGCTGTGGATGTGACAGGGCAGGACTGGGCACGGAGTCACTGATGGGGATGGGTGGAAGGACAGCAGATCTGGAAGGATGAACAGCAAGACAGGGAAACCAGAACAGGCTGTGTCAACAGTGGGCCAGGGAGCAGCAGGGAGTCCTGCCTGTCTGCCCTTAGATGCACATATCCGGTGGCCGGATGACAGGACAGGAAGGGACTGTTGCCATGCCCCAGTGAGAGAGTTACACCTTTTTCTTGTGTGTCCAATAAATTCTAGGGCCTGGTTCTCCTGACATGGTTTTCATATGCTCGTGTGCCCTTTTTTTTTTTTTTTTTCAAGACAGGGTTTCTCTGTGTAGCTTTGCGCCTTTCCTGGAACTCACTCTGTAGCCCAGGCATGCCTTGAACTCACAGAGATCCGCCTGGCTCTGCCTCCCGAGTGCTGGATTAAAGGCGTGTGCCACCACTGCCCGGCCCAACAGTACTACTTTTCCCCAGTAGATTCATACTATGGCCCCTTTCTATTCCCAGAGTGTCATTTTTCAGTGTGTATTTCATGAGTTGTGCCAGACAATACACAATCCATCTCCATCCTCAAAATGGAGCCCAAAATGCTTGTAAAGTGGAATCTTTCCGGGCAAGGCAAGTCTGAAAAGCCATTGTTTTACATAATATGGATTGATTTAGGGCAGGGCCCAGCTTCATCTCAACAGTACCCACAGGGTATTGTCACCTATAGCCTGTGACACCCGCTCTTACTCTTGAGGTACCAGATGCCTTGCTGGAGACGAAAGGGACCGGTCATCACCGTCTTCGGTTGAGTACTGACTGTGTTCCAGGTCCTATGCTAAATACTAGTGTTTTCAAGAAGATGAAAGCTTTTCCTGTCTGTGAGTTATTCCCAGAAGGAGAGCTCAGGGCCTCCAGAAGGAAGCTGGAAGCCCCTGTGTGATTCCCACCGGGCTGAAAGTGCACAAGCCAAGAGGTGGTTTCGAGATGGGGCTCAGGGCGGCACAGAGGTTGGCTGGAGAAAGGCGGGCTCGATCTAGATGGTGTATGGAAGGATGGAGAGCTTTGCTTAGGGTTAAATAGTGCCGAGAAGGGACTAGTAGAGAGAGAAGTTGAATGTGCAGAAGAGAGCAAAGAACCCTGGAAAGGAGGAGGCAGACAGAGCAAAAGGCGAGGTTGGCCTTGGGTAAGAACACCTGGGGTGTGCGTGAGCTAGGTAGGCAGGGAGGTCTTCAACTGGAGTCGCAGTTCCTGGGGCTCAAGTGAAGCACTAATTGCAGGCACCCATGGCTTCGTTATGCTGTTCTTTACCATCTGTATTTGAAATGTAAACATTTTGGTTTGGTTTGGTTTTTGTTTTTTCGAGACAGGGTTTCTCTGTGTAGCCCTGGCTGTCATGGAACTCGCTCTGTTGACCAGGCTGGCCTCGAACTCACAGAGATCTGCCTGTTAAAGGCATGCACCACCACCACCCAACTGAAATGTAAACATTTAAAAACTATGTGCAGTCAGCTTTCTGTGACTATTACAAAAGACCCCAGGCCAGTTTATGAAGAAGGGTTTCTCTTGGCTCCCAGTGGTGGAGGCTCTGCATTCTGACCTGCTGATCCGGTTGCTGTGGGCCTACGGCGAGACAGCACATCATGGCGGAAGCATGTGGAGAAAATGAATCGTCCCTTCACTACGAGCCAGAGAGCACAAAGGAAGAGGAAAAGCTTAGGACCCAAACCCCATCCAGGGCGCCACTCGATGGACTAAAGACATTCTGCCTGACCTACATCCAGGAGTATCTGTCACCTTGGGGGCCAACCCTTAACACACAGGTCTAGGAGGAATATTCAGAATTTAAACTTCTGTCCATAAAAAGGCAAGTCAAGGCACATAGCTGTAATCTTAGCCCTCAGTAGGCTGAGGAAGGAGGATTGTGATTTCTAGGCAATCTTGGGCGACTCAGTGAGACCATTCCTCAAAAACAAACTAAAATAAAGATATGGGGAGAAACTGTTGAGAAAATAAAAATGACCTTTGGAATGGAAGAATATCAAAGAACTGATAACAGTTTGAATGCAGAATACACTAGGAATTCCTCCGTCAGCACACAGCTTTAAGTACGAAAGGGATGGTGGGCCTGGAGAGCTGGCTCAGCAGTTAAGAGCACTGACTGCTTTTCCAGAGGACCGGGGTTCAATCCCCAGCACCCACATGGCAGCTCACAACTGTCTGTAACTCCACGATCTGACACACTCACACAGACATACATGCAGGCAAAACACCAATGCACATAAAATAAATAAATAATTTAAAAAGAAAAAGAAAAGGATGGTGGGCCTGGAGAACGGCTCAATGGCTAAGAATGCTTGCTGCTCACACAGAAAGA